ATGGCATCAGCCCTGAGTCTTAAGTTTAGCTGCAGTTCTCACATCCTAACTGGTCCCACCAGCAATTTTAAGATCTTTTATGTTTTATCGTTTCTTAGTTGTGCTAATAAAGTGTAACTTTCTCACCCTATTTTTACTTCTACCATCTTTTAAAATGACTTAGAGTTTCACAAAATGGGAATGTTGGGCCACTCACTATTTGGATTAAGTCATTCCCTTAGTGCTCTGTATCCTTTGAGGAAGGTTAGGTCATGCTCTAGTGACAAGCAGTCTATATCTGTTACCTTGTTAAGTGAATCTGAAAAGCCTCATAATCAATAATTAAGCCCAAGTGAATTAGCTCAGAAGACTCTGTAGGGTCCTGCTCAGGTATCTAAAAGAACAGCAAAAGCCACCAAGGCCCAGTAATTTGACTTAGAAATGGTTTTCCGGCTTCTTTGTCTCTACCTGTGGCACCACAAAGAAAGAGAGGGAGGAAACAGAGTTGTTCTGGTTTCTGTCAAGCGGAGAAGTAGACCGTCGGGCCTGTACCTCACTTTGAAGGATCATCACGGCATGGTTAAAATGGTGATGCTCCAAGGTAGCAGAGGTTCCATAGAGCTGGGCCAGGGCGGAGCCACTCCTGAAAGAGGACAGAGAAATGTAAGAAAGTTCCTAATACATAGAACTTTCTAGGTATTAGGCTAGATGCCATGGATGATATATGATGAATTCGGCAGTCTCCGGCCCTGAGAAATTTACAGACTAGTGAGAAAGATGAGACGAGATCATAAGGAAAAATAATGCACATAAAAACAATGCAAATACTAATACACTGTAGAAATATGCTCCAGGTCCAATCGAAGGGCTATGGATGTTCTGAGGAAAAAAAGACATAATTGTCTTTTTAAATTCTGTGACTTCTGAGTGTTCAGAACAACTGTCAAAACGAATTTGACCTTCCATAGGAGATGACCTTGTGAATATTCTGCAGAGTACATTTTATCTACTCTACATGAAAGGCTGACAACCTTCCAGTATGGCTTCCCAGTCCACAGTCACGCTATGATATCTCAGTATGGAGCTCTGAAAGTTCTCTGGATTTGGAATGAAATCTCAGCTCTTCCTCCAAGTAGCAGCTTTGAATGGTTATTTGGCCTCTTTAAGATTCAGTTTCTTTGTCTCTAAGATTATATTATCTACCTAACCTGTTATTTATGACAACAATAAAATATTTGAAAATGTCTATTACAGTTCCCAGCATGTAGTAGATTGTAGTCTATATTAATTATTAATCAATAATTAAAACACATATGACTATTTCTATTTTAAATTAATAAAATACTCATTGATACTTAAAGGGATTACTTTGAATTATCTGAAATTTCATTTTTGTAGAACAATGCATTTCTTAACAATGTCAGTTCTGCAAAGTGTTCATTACTTAGGAGTGTGAGGCAGGAGAATTGCTTGAAATCAGGAAGCAGAGGTTACAGTAAGCCAATATTGTGCCGTTGTACTCCAGACTGGGGGACAGAACAAGACTCAAAAAAAGAAATTCAAAAACATTTATTTCCAACTTTGTTTAAGGAATGGGAGTTAGAGCATCTTAAGAATCAAGAGATCCCAGAGAAGTCCACAGTATAAAAGGCAGCCACAGGACTCAGGCTAAGGATCCATCTAGAGCTTTTTGTTCTTTCTTGCTTATTGCAGGGGTCTTCGACACTGAAAGCGCCATTTGGCCTTAACTTGGAAATGCTGGGGATTGACTACACACAATTTGTTCTGCCAGTGAAAGAAGCAAGGACTGCATCTAAATGCAACATGAAGAATTTTGGTCACAAGCTTTCCTCCATCTTCAGTGTGAGGCAGCCCAAAACCACCATCAGTTCGGGGGTACAAGGGACCTGTAATTCTTGGAAAGACTCTCCCAACATGTGGTTGCTCATCCAACAGGATTAGGTTCAGTAGTGATTACTGAATATTATATGAAACGATAAAATATAAAATATAGGAATTATTATTCTTAGTAAAGTGCTTAGTAAGGCGGGTATTAGATTTTAAACATGTATGTGTTATTTCTTTAAATCTTGCCTTAATTTATATCATTTAATAAGTGAAAATTTGCTAGGTGAATCTTAGTAATCAGTGATAAACTAATATTTACTGTTTGTTACTATTTGTCTTACATAGAGCTCATTTCCATGAAGATACATGTTTCAAAATGTATACTATAGGCCTTTTTCTTAGCTGTTAAAATTCTGTGATGCTTTGTGTGCACATCACATTCTAGTACCTGGCATGGAGTAAGTGCTTTAAAAGATATTGGTTTCTTGTCTAATAAGTTTACAGTAGTTACTATGTCGAGAGACTACAGTTCAAGTTGGGAGGTTGATAATAAGGGTGTTAGCATATTTTATAATAATATTATTATTAATAAAAGCAACCATTAGTATCTACCATGCACTAGTCTATATGTTAACAACTGAATACATTATAGCATTTAGTCCTGACAGTGATCATGATATAAGTATTATTTTCTCATTTACACATGAGGAAAACAGGGCTCAGAGAAGTTAAATAACTTTCCCAAGGTCACACAGCTAGCTTTTATCAGTTCTAGATTTGTATCCAAGTTTTTAAGCTTCTTATTACATAATGAAAATGATAATTATAATTATCACACATATTTGATATTTGATTCCCCATTTTTACCAAGCTGGTTGTTATCAATGAAAGAAAATTTCAAAATTTAATTCAGAATTCTATTAGTATCACTACTAACCACAGGCTTAGATTCCTGTGATCATTCCTGTGAATCAGCCATTCTCGCATGCACCTCACTTACTAGTGTGAATGTTTTGTATCTAGTCTAGATACAAAATGTTATTTCTTCCTTTATTCATGTTGGGTTAACAGACTCTCCAAAAGTTACATCAGTGAGATGATCAGAAGTCACTCTGTATCTTCTTTGTTTCAGTGAATAAGGAGATGTTTTCTCCTTTAAGCAAATGGGGATAGGGACAATGATGACACCTTTTAACAAATACACCATGGCTTCTGATGCACTGCTACTTTCTGTGCATAGGAGGGAGGCCTCTCCCCCATATCCATATGCCTCCGATCTGGTGTGTTCTATCTCATGGTATTTGTGCAAAGGCAGCCACTGTCTATGGTTTGAGCAGGCCTCACGCATGTGGAATACAAAGGGAAATAAGACATGTTCTGATCTTCAGGAAGCTCACAACCCCCTATAATTGTGTCAGGAATTTTTCTCTGATAAATTTTGCACTAAAAATTCTCACTTTTCTGCAAGCAAGATGCCATCTTAAACCTCAGAGATGGAGCATGGCACTAACACAACTTCGAGGGTTTTTTTTTTTTTTTTTAAATCTAAGCAAGGATACTTCCATTTCCAAATGGATCCCTTATTTATACGATTAGATTTGGTCCCTGGCAGATTTTCTAGACTGCCAAACCCCTCACTGCCTTTTGTCTCAGGCCAAGGCCCACTAGGAATGCTGCCTATATCTGCTGTTACACAACCAGGGACTTCCTAGGACCACCAAGAACCAAGTCTACAGTTTTAATATAAGTGGCAATGTGTGTGTATGTGTGTGTGTGTATGTGTGTGTGTGTGTGTGTGTGTGTGTGCATGCGCATGTGTGTGTGCAGATAAGCTTTATGAAAAGTATTCTACAGAATACTAGTTCTTCTGAATGGTAAATAGCATTAAGGGAAGAAGTAAAAAGGGTTCCATGGCCAAATAAGTTTGGAAAATGCTGGCTTTAAAAAGTGAATCTGTTTATTTATGGTAAGAATTTTCTATAGGTGGCAATATGTGAAAATGCATTGTGATTTTGTGGCTGGGGGGGACATAATATGCAGCATTATTACTATTAATTGATCATAAAACCTTTTTTTTTTTTTTTTGAGACAGAGTCTCCCGCTGTTGCCCAGGCTGCAGTGCAATGGTGCTACCTTGGCTCACTGCAACCTCTGCCTCCCAGGTTCAAGTGATTCTCCTGCCTCAGTCTCCCAAGTAGCTGGGATTACAGGCGCGTGCCACCATGCCCAGCTAATTTTTTGTATCTTTAGTAGAGATGGGGTTTCACCATGTTGGCCAGGCTGATCTTGAACTCCTGACCTTGCGATCTGCCCACCTTAGCCTCCCAAAGTGCTGGGATTACAGGCGTAAGCCACTGCGCCCAGTCGATCGTAAAACCATTTATAAAGTGGTCATGTCTCTCACATAATATACTTCTACTTATAAAGGTATGCTTCTACTTTCTCACATAAAATATGAAAAAAAAAAAAACCCTGAGATCAATCACATATGGAAAAAATGGACTTTAACAACACACCTCATTTTAATTGTCTGTGCTAAGTATGTCCATCACAAAAGTGTCTTCGGGGCACACATCCTGTAGTTGTGAAAATACAATTATATATGTAGGGTATATGGAGAGAGGAAGAGAATCCACATTCCATAAGTACAAATATCTTTATATATGTAAGTATTTATGATGTGTGTTATTGATTAGGTCATTCTAAAATACTAAAGTTTTTCATTTTGGATAGGCAGCTCAATGAGGAGAAACTTGTTAAAAAGAAAAGTCAAAGTGAAAATTTCCCTTCAGGCATTCAGCACTTTGCACAGGCACCAAAAATGTGTGCAAATGTAAATGTACCTTCGTAACTTCCCTAGATATGCATATTCTTTGAAAAAGAGACTGAATGGCAGTGTGCAGCCTGACTTAAAGGAAACTTTAAGAAGGAAAACTATGAAAGGTAATTAGGAAATTGAGAATTGTTGGGAGGTGGTGAGGAATGGGATTAGGCTGTCATGGCAGATTAATGTGCCCCAGTATTTCACTTCTGGGACCTGGCCGAAAGCGACAAGATGGGTTTTCATTCCCAAGAAATGAGTATAAGAGATTATGCTAGAAATAAATAGAAGAAGTCTCCTAGGAGAATATACTACAAAGCTGCTTGGTACTGATATTTAATCATCAGGGGCAGCTGTAATAGAGAGAAGGATGAGTGGGGAACGCTGTCCCTGGAGAAAACAGGGGAGAGGTGTGAACAGAGCAATTTCAAAGCACTATGGTACTGCTGCCCTCTCTACTTATTGATCATTCATTGCACGCACTCCAATACTTAAAAATTAAGAACAAAATATGAAAATGCAAAGGTTCACTTATCAGAAAGGCTAAGAGAATAAATCAAATCGTGCTCTAACGAAAGTCACACTTTTTATTGTAGAGGCATTTTGCATTTTATATAGTAATTTGTCCCTTGCTAAATGTCTCCTGTTTTTTTATAGCCTTATATATGAAAAAAAAGGTAGCATATACTTTGCCACATAATAATTGGTGCATTTAAATCTCATTTTCAAATCACTTGAAAAACTAGAATTAGACTGGGAGCATTTTAAGAGAAGGGGTGTTTGCTATACCTCTTTATTTCTCCCATAATGCCTAGCACAGCATCTTGAATATAGAAAGTACTCACTTACTGGAAAATAAAAAGCAAGAAAAGAAGATAGGTTTCTTGTAAGGGACTCTCTAAACAATGGCACACTCACTGAATAAATCTCATTCTAATCATAAAAAGGTAGTTTCTTGACCATGATGCTAAAAA